AAACAAAACCTTCTCCCTTTTCGGGCTTCGTGCCATGCATGAGTATATTCAATAATACCTCCCACCTCCCTTTTTCTAAGCTAGAGAGTCTCAAGTCTGGACTTCCTTGTAAGAGAGTTGTTCAAGCCCTGTAATCATTTTGGTTGCTCTCTTTTCAATGTTTTTCCACCCTCTTTCCAGTGCATCAACTTAGAACTGTTTACAGTGTTCCATCTTCAGACACATCCTTACTGTGTTGGCAGCTTTATTTTCAGTCCTTTTCCTCAAGATTCCTAGCATAAAAATTGCTTTCTTCACAGTTGCCACATCTTCATTGTGCTGTCCACTGTGGGCACCAGTTTTTTTTCTTAGTTACAAACAACTTGGACACCCATCAGTATCTTTGTGGGGGGGGAGGTCCCCCCAGCATGCATCACTTTACATTTACATTCAAGTGTACTTGCCATTTGGTTAAGCAGTGTTGCGACCAAAACCTGGCTCACCTAAAGCAACCAAATCACTTGAAGATATAACATAAATTTACTAAGCATGCAAACAAGTTACGCTGTACACTGGGCTCTCAGCAAAGCATCGGCAGCTTGCTGAGCAGCCTTGAGCAAAAGCAGGACCACAGCTTATATGCCTTTGGCATACTACATGACAAAGACAAGACAAAAAAGCAGATAATAAATTACATGACATTGTAATGTTTTTGATAAACCTGTCTAGGTGACATTATTTATCCCTTCATCCTAGGTCAGCATGCTAGCTATACTATCTCTGAGATATGGCCAGTGAATATAAACAATTTGAGCCATTGGTTCCTGATTCTTCCTCCTCTCACCATTCAGGGTCAGTTCAACTTGCTGTGAATGCTTTAATACAAGGGCACTTTAAGCAGTTCACATGTATTGTGGGGGAAGGGTGGCATCTCATAGGTTCGGTAGTGAATGCTGCTCACATGTTTATGGGGGGGGGGTGCCTTTTACCACCACAACAGTCACCCAGTGTAAGGAGATCCTTCTCAAACTCTTCATAATCACTTTGGAGACTCACTACCATGAATAGCTTTTTCCTAAGTCAAGACCATTTATAAACAAGTTAAAAGACACCTGTCCCAACACTGTTCCTGATTTTTACTCTTTTTTATTGAGTCAACAATCCATAAAAGGACAGGTCATCTTATCCCACAATCATGAAGCTTACAAGAACCTTTGATGAGGACTTTGTCAAAGGGTTTTGGAGAGTCCCATTACACAGCTTTAACAAGATCAGAAATTAGTCTTAACAATTCACCTTGAACAGATGTTAAGCTGACTCTAATTTTCCAGGTGTCCAGATCTCTTTTTTAAAATTGGTGTCATATTGGTCACCCTTAAGTCCTTTGGCACTATTACCTGTTTGAAAAACAAGCTGTGAATTTTCCCTACGTCAGCAGTTTCTCATTCAAGAATTCTCCTTGGATGCCATCAAACCTTGGCATTTCATAACTTTGGTACTCAAGATGTTGTAGAATACTTTGGCACCTCCCTGAGAAAGTCAACAGAGTCATATATCTGTCCTGCATTTTGAAGAAAACTCAATGCAAAGAATTAAATTTCTCTGCAATCTCCATAACATCCTTGAGGATCCCTTTCGCTGCACTTACCTGCTCTGTTCTGGTTCAAACATAGTTAATATTTTCAGTTGTTCCCCACCTACAGCCACTTTTCCTTTTGGAAAGTTAAAATTAATATAGTACATAACTTAAATGTAGCATTCTTTCATTCAATTTGTGTGACTGCCCAGAGTCACTTAAGTGAGATGTACAGCTATACAAATCAAATAAATAAAATCCTGAGGGAAAAACATGAAACATTTATTGTATTGAATATTTATTATATCGTTTTGTATTGCACAATTTTTAAAAAGCATATTACTTTTAAAATACTTGAAGCAGCGTGAATTTTGATAACATAAAATTGGAATTCTGTGCCCATGTTCATGGAATCCAATCTCATTTAACATACTAACTTTTGGGGAAATGAGTAGGATGAACCTGCAAGCCTTTGTTCTTACTAACTGCTTGTTATTTTTTGACTGGTCAAACTCGGATGTAAGCAGCGTGGCAAAGAGACGGTGTCTAGAAGTGCATGGACAGCCTTAAGGAGAATGACATCTCCAGTAGAATTTACTGAAAAAAGGGAAGGACAATATTACAAAGGAGGAACTTGTGTGGGACAAGTTCTCTTGAAACAGTAGGAACTTTCTTCTCTCCTTTTAAGCCCGTCAGTGTAAAACACCAGAACATTTTATGTGTCTCATTTCCCTCAAGTGTCTCTGTAGTTCCAGGCTTATGGTACAGAGATGCGCGCACACTCTTCCCCCAGTCTAGGGTGCCTGTCCTCTGCCATCCACAGAAGACTGAATATTCCTAAAGTGTTGCTGTGACAAAAGGATATAGCTGTTCCACTGGAAGATACACTGAGTACCAAAATCTGGCAAATGTAATGACTTCTTTCTGGCTAGTTCTCATAGCTATTTCTTCCCATGATCCTTTTTTTTTTTTTTAAACTAATGATTATACTATTAGGCTGTCTTTAAGTCGTCACTAACATTTTCCTAACGCAAAAAAAGCATGATTTCACATATCGCAAACATTTTAAAATCAAAATACATCATGCATAAACTTGAAAATCAATTGCATGTTCAGAACACATTTATTCCTTTGAGTTATAAAACTCTGCCTTCCCTCTCCATCCTCTCCTACAATTTTCAGCATTTCAGGCTGCCTCACTGCAGGCAGTCCCAACCTACTGGGGGTGCAGTCAGTGAGGGAAAGGCTGGCTCAAGTGGACTCTATATTCGGGCGTTGCAGAACAAGGTACGTCTGAAAGTTAGCCTTTGGTGATTTGCTTATTGCCTCTACTCAGTTTAGAATCAATAGGGAAACTTAATGTAGAAGTTGTTATTTTGCTGAGATAATTTCTACACAGTTAATAAGCCACCATAAACAATCCTTCCTTCCCTGAAAAAATGGAATCTCTTATCTAAAATTTGAGGACCTGAAAGATCTCCCCCACCCAAATCCCACAGCTAGTAAAGAAGATTCAAAAGTGATAGGCATTCTTAATACCTACCGAGAATGGGATTACTGCAATACCAAACTTTGTCTACGTTTGGGGTTCTGACTGCAGAGCAGTCACGGTACAGAATTTGAAAGGGTCTAAAGCAGCAGTTTGTCAGCCCTAACTCTTTTGAAATCCTTATGTACTGGTGGAATTGAACCGTTGGGTAATTAACTTCCAGAAGATGCAGCCTCAAGGGGCTGCCATTACTCTCATGTTTTTAAAATCCACTGAGTTCCAGTCCGGAAGTATTCCTACCTTGACCAGCTAAACTAATCTCACAGTAGAATGCACAAGGAAAAACCACCATTGTTTATATGGCCATTAGACTAAAATAGATTTTTAGATCCCATTGTGCCAGTTCCATGGGTGTGGAAAGTAGTTTGCACTAGAATCTTAAACACTTCCACCCCACTGTCTTAATGGGGGCTGGTCAAAAAGTTGGTCAAAGGGGGCTCCCTGTCGGTAGGTTCAATAAACAGGACTGTTCTGGAGGCAGCAACTTGTGATGATGGAGCCTCCAAGAAGGAAAGGACTCTTCCTAGCACCCTGCTACTCTGGACTGAATGAAAAGGGAACCGAACCAAGAATAGAGCCATGTTAGGGTTATGCCTGGAAGTTAGGCTTCCAAAGGAGGGTAGCCCTGATGTCTGCATTTTGGAAGGTTCCCGAACAGCTTCCAGGAAACACAGGTCTCTGCTGCTTGCTGCAGAATCCAGCTGGGTCACTCAACCTTCTGGGAAGGTGGGCTGGCACTGACTTGCAGCTCTCTGTAGGTAGAGAGAAACAATCTTAATGCCTTCCCTTGAACCGGAGCACAATCTCTGGGTCTGCTCAATGAGAGACTGTTTTAGACAGATGTCCGTTGAAGAGTCAGTGGCTGTAGTGAAGGAGTTGAACTGGGCGAGCCTCAGACTCTCATACAGCTATGATACTAGGCAACATCAGCGTAGTCACCGTCTCAGCCTAATCAACCCTTGCTGGGTTGTAATAAGTGATTCCATAAATGTTATTCTGAGCACTTTAGAGAAGAGGTAGGAGGGGTGTAGTCTACCTGATAGCAGCCACTAGATTCTGGTGCCATTTGTCAAAGTCGTCCTGATCACAAGACATCAACAGTAACTTTTTCTGTGGGAAGGAGAGCTGAAAAGGGAGAAAGTCAGAAGGGTAGAAGGCTACTCTGTGGCCAAAAGAGTTCAGAGTTCACTCAACCCAGACTCCCTGGCCAGAGAGTTATATCAATGCTTGCCATCTCTTCTTGGCACTAGCCACAGTTGTACCTCCCACATTACTACTAATTGTAGATCGGCCATGGGTTTCAGGGGAGAGGAACCAGCCCACTTGTGGAACTTGGAGTTGGGGAAGAGTACTTACACTGAGCAGCCCTCCTTGACTCTGGGTGTGCCCAAACACCTTCTCTACAACGCAGTGACTGAGAGGGTAAACTGCCTGGCACGTAAACTTGTGTGAATTCCAGGGGTGGAGTGGGTGGCAAGGCTTTGTTAACAACAAGATATCAGAGAAAAGGAAAAACATCCTGTGCTGCATTTCCTTTCCCTTGGAGGGTACCACCATCAGCCAGCCTTCCTGGAGATACCAGCGCCCTGCATGGTAGAAGCACAAAAACCCAGGAACTTATTAGGGGAGTTCTGAAACCATCTGAGGTTTGTCAGTGACACCAGGTGTGTGTTTCTTTGGGAACTGCAGAGGGATCAACACCAATAGCTGAGGCAAGCCACTGGCACATGAATCCAAATCTCAGCCTGCTGACTTCAAAAAATGCTATGAGACAGAATTATTTTATTTCCCAGCAATAGCTGGGTTCTTAACATGTTGGAAGAATTACTTTAAACTCCATTTTCCTCAGTCTTGGAGGAAAACATCAACATCTGAAGATATATACAAATGCGAAGTACAAATGAACAGAATTTACAATAGGAAACACAGTATTGTATGATAAAATCACAGTTCTAGAGACGGAGACCAGCACCGTTCAATATACCCCTCTATACCTTTCTATCCTTGGAAATCACTCTTGCTTCTGCCATGTACATACATACGTACCTTGCCTTTTCTTTAAACTTGTGGCCTCTTTTTCAGGATCTCACCACTTTCTCAGTCTTCCCCTTCCTTTTGATCCATTCACTCTTCCTTTGTGTACTTTTGCCATTTCAGTCTCGTTCATTTTCTCTCCTCTTATGACCAAGTCACCAACATACAGTACTTCTTTCATGCTGATCACTCGCTTTTTTATTCAAACCACATTCATTCAGTACCCATTCATTCTCAACTCTGTCTTTCATTGCTTTAACACACAAACACCTTAAGTACCCCATTCCCATTGTGTTCAATTGACTTTTTTGTTTCCTGTCTTTGTTTCCTGTCTTTGTTTCCTGTCTTTAC